TATTTATTTATTTATTTATTTATTTATTTATAAGATTTATAGGCCGCCCAATCCCGAGGGACTCTGGGCGGCTTACAAAAAAGAGAAAAAAGAAATAATGAAAAAAAATAAGAAAGCCAGATTTAAAATCACCACACATACATTCGTTCTGATCGGGGCTGGACCTCAATAGTTAAGCAAGCAAGCAAACCACAGCATTTTGGACCAGTTGAACTTTCTTGATGATCTTAAAGGGCAGCCCCATGTAGAATGAACTATAGCAATGCTTGGGTGCTGTATTAATCTATTAAAAATTAACAAGTTAGCTGTACTTCTCATGCTTGCAATGCAGTTCTTCGGAAAAAGCAAGAGGTCTTCTCACCAGCTCCGTTTGACTGGTTAGTCTTGGATGTAAAAATATGCCCAGCAGAACAAATGTTGTATATAGCTAAAAATAGGAAATCAGAAGTGAGACTAAGTTTTTCCAATTTTTTTTTCAAGGGGAGCGGGATAAAAATGTAAAAATCAGTGCATTGGTTTGGATTCCTCTGCAGGCTTTGGAAGTCATCAAGCAGCTGAAGGAGACGATGCAGATTGAGCGGGCACACATGAGGCTACGCTTCATCCTCCCTCGGAAAGAAGGCAAGAGATTGAAAGAGAAGCTGAAGCCACTGATCAAAGTAATCGAAAGCGAGGATTTTGATGAACAGCTGGAAATTGTAAGCAGCCCAGTGTCCTTTCCCAAGTCTTTTTGTTTGGGGAAAAAGCTATTACTGTGCTTTTGGTTTTATACAAGAAGGTTTATACCCAAAGTGTTGGAGGGTAGAAATAAGGACCGATATTTACACTGCAGTCATTTGTATGATTGCTTGTAAAGGAAACCTCATTGGTTCTTGCAGAAGATGTTTTACAGCGCATTGGGATAAGCATGCAGCAGTTTGGTATATGAACATTTAAGACCTTATCAAAAGATAGGGATGCTGCAAAGATTCCATTGTGACACATCTGCATTTCCTTTTTCTTCTAATTCAAGAGAATTTGGCGCCTTTCAGTGAATTGCAGTCTTTGGGTTTTTAACGTAGTTGGGTAGAAGTGTAATATATAGACATTCCAGTCCAATTTAGTGTTCTTTCTCCGTTCCATTTAAAAAATACCCTGGAGCTGGTAAAACCTCTAAAAGGCACAAATCAAAACACTCAGGATTATAACCCTTTTTTGGGGGGTGGGGGGAGAACAGCTTTATGAAATTAACCATGGAATGGTGAAAACAGTGAGAAATGATCTAATTCTCACATTGCAAAAATTTGGAGTGACATGAGACTAGCAAGAAATTCAAAACAAGGAAATTTATATAATATGCAAATAGTTCTTGTTTAGTGACTACAGATGGCACCAGCAACCACTTAGTTGTTAAGTGGAGCAGTCACTACTTGAAACCGCAAATGTGTTCATGTAAGTTGTTTACAGAGTTAGCATATTACCCCCAACAATCTGGGTCCTCATTTTACTCACCTCAGAAGGATTGAAGGCTGAGTCAATCTTTTGCTAGTGAGAATTGAACTGCTACCTGCCAGCAGCCAGCAGAAGTAGCCTGCAGTACATGCTGCATTCTAACCACTGCGCCACTTAACAACTCTTATACATGCAAGGGCTGGCCATAAAATTACTTTTTCATCAATGTTGTTAACAGCAAATGGTTGCTAAACAAGGACTACTTGTATAACTTG